CAGTTCTGCTCCGGTCCGGTGGTGCGGTTCTGCTCTGGTCCAGCGGCACTTCAAAGCACCGGAGCGTCTCCTCCAGGTGAAAACAGCAATTCCACAGAGGTGGACAGTCCTTCGGTAAAAGTAACGGGCTGCTCAATGAAGCTGAGACCGGCTCTGTTGAAGACGAAATCCCACACAGCCACCTCGGTTCGATTCTGGTCCAATTCGAGGGTCACAGGTACACTTCCCCCACACCTATGAAGACACCACGAGGGCCAGTCCAGCAGAAAACCAGCGAAATACCACCCGGCGATTCTTGTTGGAACCAGGAAGAACCACAAAGGTCCAGATGATAAGTTTGTTGGGGTCCAGGAGAGAGAGAAAAACACTGGACCTTCGTGCGACGACTCCCCAGCTCGAGGGGTCACCTGGCCGGCAGGGTACGCTCAGAGTGACCAATGGGGTGGGAGCGGCCGGTTCTGGACCAAAATATATTCTTGGACGGTCCCATCCGGCTCTCTGAGTCACTGAACACCGAATTCGGTTGGAAGGAGGACCAACTTTAGTCCGGTTCGAAAAAAACGGGTCAGTTTGATGATGAAAGACTGCAGAGAAGCCGGAGGGAGCTGCTGTCCATCAACTCGCCGGAAGTGGAAGCTTAAATGAGGGGTTCTGCAGGGGTCCATCCTGGGTCCCCTCCTATTCTCTTTATACCTGCTGCCACTTGGTGCTATTTTCTGGAAACACCTCATGCCCTTCCACGCCAATGACTGTCAAATTTACTTCCCCCTAAATTTTCTCCCAGGCTCTGATCGAGGTGGCAGCTTCTGTTTTCTCCTCCCCCGTTTTTTTCCTTCTTCCTGCTCTGCTCTCTGTCTGTCTGAAGCGCCTGGGTCTCATCTCCCGAACATAAATTAAGAAGATTATGGATTTGGTATCGTGGGTGTTCAACTCTATTGATAAGATTTTTTTCATCAAAGCGACAAGGTCCTGGGGAACCGGCATGTCCACCTGAGACTCACGCTGTGGGGTACGTCATGGATTTGTGGGGAGTGTGGCAGATGATGTGCCTCTCTGTTCTGTCTCCAGAAGATGTTGAAGACGTTTACATATTTGGACTTATGATAGCAGGGACTCTGCTTTTTGGCATCGGTGGGGCTCTATTTTATCGACTTTTGAAGAAGACATCGGGAGCAGTTTTGGCCATGGAAAAGCTCCCGAGTCAGTGTGAAGGTCTGGTACTCGCTGTGGGAACTTTAAATCGTCTGGTCTACGAGCTTAACCGTAAGGTGGAGGCGATTGAGAATCGCAGACCACCGTGCTCTATTCAACCGCTACTCAACTGCCTGGCTGACATCAGGGACTGGATGGCTTTAAATTTCTTAAGTTTCAATGAAAAGAAGTCTGAAGTCATGTTGTTCCCTCCCAACGACACGATCACAAACCACTGTATCGACCTCTCCACTCTAACCCTGTCAGAAAAACAAAGAGTCACTTATCTGGGAGTGATAATGGACCCTTCCCTGAAGCTTAACAATCATTTAAACATGATTGTTAAATCATGTTTCTTCCAACTGAGGCGGCTGTCTAAACTGAAGCCCATATTGTCCAAAAAGAACCTGGAGACAGTAATACATGCATTCATTACATCTAGGCTTGATTACTGCAATTCGCTCCTGTTTGGTATCAGTCAGACCTCCATTGCACGACTACAACTGGTCCAGAATGCAGCAGCCCGATTTTTAACCAGTACAGGCAAAAGAGAGAACATTACACCAGTTTTGGCCTCACTGCACTGGTTACTGGTTCACTTTCGAATCCAGTTCAAAATACTCATGTATGTCTACAAATCAATGAACAGTTCCCCCCCCCCACCTCCCTCTTCTGCTACAACTGTATGCCCCCCCACGTTCCCTGAGGTCAGCGGACCAGTTGCTCCTCACAGTTCCAGGAACTCGTATTAAGCGCAGAGGTGACAGGGCCTTCTCTGTAGCAGGAGCAAGACTTTGGAACGAGTTACCTCTGCTTGTCAGACAGGCCCCCTCCCTCTCGGTTTTCAAGTCCCATTTAAAAACTCACTACTATTCAGTAGCTTTCAACACCAGATGATCTGTGTTTGATCCTGTATGCTCCACACTGGTTTGTCGTCATTATCTGCATCGTTTTTATGTCTATATTCTGATTGACCTCATTTTGTATTTTGCTTTGTGTGTTACCTGTTGTTCTGTCTGTCCAGCACTTTGGTTGGCCTTGTTGCCGTTTTAAGTGCTCTATAAATAAAATGGTATGGTATGGTAACTATTCAATGGCATATTTGAGGGTGAGAAAATGCCTGAGGAATGGAGAAGAAGTGTGCTGGTGGCCATTTTTAAGAACAAGGGTGATGTACAGAGTTCTAGCAACTACAGGGGAATTAAGTTGATGAGTCACACAAAGATCTGGGAGAGAGTTGTGGAAGCAAGACTTAGACGAGAGGTGATTATCTGAGACCAACAGGATGGTTTCAAGCCAAGAAAGAGCACCACAGATGCCATCTTTGCTTTGAGGATGCTGATGGAGAAGTACAGAGAAGTTCAGAAAGAAATCCATTGTGTCTTTGTGGATTTAGAAAAAGTATACGACAGGGTGCTCAGGGAGGAGGTGTGGTATTGCCTGAGGAAATCTGGAGTGGCAGAAATGTTAGACTGGTACAGGACATATATGAGGACAGCAAGACATGTATGAGGACAGCAGAACATGTATGAGGACAGTGGTGAGATGTGCTGTAGGAGTGACTGATAGCTTCAAAGTGGAGGTGGGAGTGCATCAAGGATCGACTCTGAGCCCCTTCTTGTTTGCTCTGGTGATGGATCGACTAACAGATGAGGTCAGACAAGAATCCCTATGGACGATGATGTTTGCAGATGACATTGTGATCTGTGGTGAGAACAGGGAACAGGTGGAAGGGAACTTGGGGAGGTGGAGGTATGCACTTGAAAGAAGAGGAATGAAAGTCAGCCGTAGTAAGACAGAGTCCATGTGTGTGAATGAAAGGGAGGAGGTGGAACAGTGAGGCTACAAGGAGCAGAGGTCACAAAGGTGCAGGACTTCAAGGACTTGGGTTCCACTGGCCAAGAAAATGGGGAGTGTGGTTAAGAGGTGAAGAAGAGAGTCCAGGCAGGATGGAGTGATGGAGAAAAGTTTCAGGAGTGATTTGTGACAAAAGGGTCTCAGCAAAGGTCAAAGGAAAAGTTTACAAGACAGTGGTGAGAGCAGCTATGTTGTATGGTCAGGAGACAGAGACATGGACAAAAAGACAGGAGAAAGAACTGGAAGTGGCAGAAATGAAGATGTTGAGGTTCTCCTTAGGAATCAGAATCAGAATAAACTTTATTATCATTGGACCGAGATACAACGCGAATATGTACATACAGTCGTCCGAAAGATGGGCGGAGTGCGTGAAGCAGCGACTATAAATAATTAGCGCGGCCCTCTTATTCTTATTCAGAATAATATTTTGTTTAGATGAGAAAAGGGAAGAAAACATGAGGAGAGACGGTATAAAAAAAAGACAGATAGGGCACGATTTGAGGCATCAAAAAAACCTATCACAGCAAAGCAACACAAACAGATGTTATACATTTACATATAGGCCGGTGAAGAAATTGAATTTTTAAGGGAAAGTCATAGCATAGTCCAAAGCCCCCTCTCAGCCATTGTCCAGATAAGAGGTGACATTCATCTTTAGCTCAGTTGAGGTTCTGTTACATGTCCACGGCCTTGGAGAAGGGAGGGGTGAGGAAACGGTCAAAGCATCTTTGTTGTTTTCAAAACATTCCAGGAGGAGTTGAGATAAGTCCGGCATCAAGGCCACAGTTTGGGTCAGGCAGAACTCGTGAATTGTTGTTTCTGCCTTTTAAAGTCTTGCTGGTATATATTCCTCTGATGGAACTCCAAAATAGCCAAATTGATTCCTTAAAGTCAAGCTCACAGCTTCTCTAAAATTATTCCCACCTTCATGTGTGCCCCTAGAGAGTTCGCAGTCCTGATAACAGCTGCTCCAGCTCTGATGCAGCTCCACATAATTCAGTATGAGTGCTGCCAAGCTTCGACACATCCACACACATTTGTAGACAATCCAGAATTCACCAACCAAACAACAAAAAAAAACTGTTGTCATCATGAATCCAATTTGTTTCTGTCGAGGTAAGAGGATCCTCCTTACCCTGACTCCTGTCGGGAAAAGTTGATCAATTTTGTTGAGACCAGCTGATCTTTCGAATTAGGAAGGTATGCAGGAAAAAAGAGGCTCTTTAGACAAAAGAGAGCAAGCAGGGAAGTGTGTGTGTGTGTGTGTGGGGGGGGGGGGGAGCACCGGGAGACACGTCTGACTTCACCGGAGCACAGAGGAAGAAATAAAAAAGGAATGACAAGGGAAGATCAGGAACGAGATCATCAGAGGTACAGCACAGGTTGAACAACTGGGAGATAAAGTTAAAGAGGACACATTGAGATGGTTTGGACATGTCCAGAGGAGAGACAGTGGTTTGGACATGTCCAGAAGAGGGACAGTGGTTTGGACATGTCCAGAGGAGAGACAGTGGTTTGGACATGTCCAGAAGAGGGACAGTTGTTTAGACATGTCCAGAAGAGGGACAGTTGTTTGGACATGTCCAGAAGAGGGACAGTGGTTTGGACATGTCCAGAAGAGGGACAGTGGTTTGGACATGTCCAGAGGAGGGACAGTGTGTATATTGGTAGAAGGATGTTAGAAATGCAGCTGACAGGAAAAAGACAAAGAGGAGATATATGGATGCAGTTAGAGAGGACATGGAGGTAGATGGAGTGAAGACAGAGGACACAGAGGACAGAGTGAGATGGAGGAGGACTCACTGTGGAGACCCCTGAAGAGGGAAAAGATGGAAGAAGTAGTAAACGTTAATGAGAGATTTTCTCCAACACCTGTACCAGTCTTCTTTAGTCTGTCACAGGGTTCTGGTTAAGGTGGATCTGAAGAGCAACTCCTGAACCTGCTGCGTTACCTTTGCAATCATCTGTAGGATCTGGTTCTCTGCTTGAGGCGGTCTCAGAACTCCCAGTCCCTCCAGACAACGAAGACTCCGCAGAATCTTCCTCTTCTTCTCCAACAGACTCAGGTTGCTGTTGGCGACCAGCGACTGATTCTTCTTCATCTTCTCAGGGGTTTGAGCATCCTGTTGGGCACGACGCTTCATCAGCCAATCATGATGCACTTCCTGTTTGAAGACCTCACACTTTACACATCACAGCAACTTATCAAAAACATCAGCCTGTCAGGTGTGTTTTTTACCTGGCCAGGAGAAGTCTTTTTTCTCAAGATGTCACTTAGAGAGTCACCTGGCTGAGTCCTAATGACATCAGTGATCAGCTGTTTGGTGCTGAAAAACCAGAACAAAGCCTAATCAGCTGGGGCTAAGAAGCTAACAGGCTAATCTACCTAAACAGGTGATACCACGTTACCTGAGCAGCAGTCCTCTGGCATCTGCTTTATCATTTGACTCGTTGAAAATGTCAAACTTGTTGGACAGAGTCAGTGAAATCTCCAAATTACAGAACTCAGATCCTGGATCAGCCGAAGACTCTCCTGAGGAAAGCAAAACCCAAAATGTGTTCATACCAAAAGAAATGCTGGATTAACACCTGCTGCTAACACCTAAGTACTTGTACTGACACCTGAACTAATACCTGTACTATTCAGCAACCATCCGTCTCCAGGAGACGAATGCGGAGTACCCATGTCTATCTGCATGTTCCTTGGTGACTGAACAGACCAGTTCTAGAGTGACACCTGACTCAGGTGAAGGCCTTCCTGTCCCGTCCTCATCTCTCACCGTCTCTGCCTCCTGGATGACCTGTCTGATGTTCGAGCGCCAGGCTGCGTGCTCGTCTGCATTTCTAAGAATTGCTGTTGATGCTGCACAGCTTCATGTCTCTTCTGCAGAAATCTTTAAAGCCCCAAAAGCAGTTGTCTAGAAGTTCAAGTCAGGTCAAGTCAAGTCATATTTATTTATAGAGCACAATTTAAAACAGACTGTTATCAAAGTGCTTAACACTAATGGTAACACTAAAAAATAAAAAGCAGTAAGAATATACCTTAAAAAAATTAAAACAACAGCATTAAAATGAAGACATGGAACAAGATATACTAAATCAACTCACACAGTATGAAACGCCAGAGAGAACAGATATGTTTTTAGCAGGGATTTTAACACAGGAAGGGAGGTGGCATGCCTAATGTTGGGGGGTAGGTTGTTCCACAGTTTGGGACCCATGACTGAAAACGCCCGATCTCCTCGGAGCTTCAGTCGTGTTTTTGGAACAACCAAAAGCAGCTGATCGGATGATCTCAGAGCCCGAGAGGGAACATATGGTTCCAGTAGCTCAGAGAGGTAGATGGGTGCGAGGCCATTTAGGCACTTATAGGTCAGGAGGAGAATTTTGAAATCAATCCTAGTTCTCACAGGAAGCCAGTGTAGGGAGGACAGAACTGGTGTGATGTGCTCATACCTCGGTGTACCGGTTAAAAGCCGAGCTGCAGCATTCTGGACGAGCTATAGCCGTGAGATAGAGGCCTGGCTGACCCCAGCATACAGTGAATTACAATAGTCCAGGCGGGTTGTGATGAATGCATGGACTAGTGTCTCAAGGTCAGGTCTAGACAGCACTGGCTTGAGCTTAGCTACCTGCCGCAGTTGGAAGAAGCTTCTCTGCAGAACCGAACTGATCTGTTTGTTGAACTTAAAATCCGAGTCAAAAACCACTCCGAGGTTTTTAACAGAGTGCTTCAGATAAGGCTGAAGGGAGTCCAGGTTCACAGGATAAGAGGCGGCAGCTGAGCTAGGGCTAAAGACAATGACTTCAGTCTTCTGGTCGTTAAAACTTAGAAAATTTGAAGCCATCCATGTCTTAATGTCGTCCAGACATTTGAGGAGAGGGTGGACGGAACAAGCACTGGCTGGTTTCAGTGGCAGGTAGATCTGACAGTCATCGGCGTAGCAATGGAATGGAATACCATGTTTTCTTAGGATCGACCCCAGCGGAAGCAGATAGAGCGAAAATAGAAGGTGTCCGAGAATTGAGCCCTGTGGGACACCGCAGGAAAGAGGCATTGAAGTGGATAGATTTTTATCCACCTTCACACAAAAACTCCTGTCAGAGAGGTATGAGCGGAACCAGTCTAATGCAGAACCTGTAATCCCAACCCAGTGTTCAAGCCGAGAGATGAGGATACTGTGGTCAACAGTATCGAAAGGAGCAGTAAGATCGAGGAGTACAAGAGCCACAAAATGACCAGAATCATTTGCTGTTAAAATGTCATTACAAACCCTAACCAAAGCTGTTGGGAACATGACCTGCGTCCATTCTTCTGACGTTGCTCAGCCATCGAAAGTGCTCTCCTCTGAGAATGGCGAACATGCTGTCCATGTTGGCCCATTACAAGGCCTCTGTGTTGGGCACCTGATTCTGCCACCGGATATTCAGGAATGCACCGAGATACTTCAGAGGGAAGCTGTTGAGTTCTTTCCATCTTGTGTAGGTGGTCCACCAACACTGCTGTAAAGAAAAGAGCTGAGGACACAGGTTTGGTAGATGCACAGCTTGGTCTTTTTAGATAGGCTGGAATTGTTCCACACACTTTGGCTCAGTCTGGCCATAACTGCTGCTGCCTTAGAAGTTTTGTTGATCACCTCTGCTGGAGACTGTGGAACTGAAGTATGTGAAGATCTCCAGAACTTCAAGGATGGTCCCAGTTATAGTGATGTTTGGAGAGTGTCTCTGTGTCCTGCACCACATTGTTCATCTTTTTTAGAATGATGGTCGGTCCAAACTCCTTTCAGGCATGAGGATGGCTACTGAAGAGCTGCTGCAAGCTTCTACAGACAGTCGTGTCAAGACATTGTCTGCAAACAATAAGAATTTTCTTAGCATGAAGGTGGGCAAACTGTAGAGCTCGCCATTAGCTCTGGTGTGGATGTCCACACTCTCGCTGCAGTCCTTAAAGGCATACTGAAAGAGAACAAAGAAGATGCCAAAGTGTTGGAACAAGTACACAACCTTGTTTGCTCTACTACTGACTCCGAAGGGCTTGCATGTTGCACCGTTGAAACAAACCATGTTGTCCATCCAACCATTATCTTTTACTCGCTTCTTCCTTTTTGCACCTTTTGATCTCTCTAAGTGACTTCAAACATCTGCTAAGTTCTTGGGAAAAACCAATGCAGACATGTTCCTGTTTTTAGTTTTCTACACCGCCTTATAATCTAGCTGTTTTTCTGTTACGTATTTTAATGCCACTTTATTTTCACTTGTTATTCTCAATTTGTATGCTTCCTTTGACTGTCTACTGTTGTAATCATTCTTTGTTAAAATCAGGTCCCTCTTGTAAATGAGTCTCCAAAGCTCAATGGGATTAACCTGTATAAATAAAAGTTGAATGAATGAATGGGTCACGGTGGGTCACTGGTGCCCATATCCATCTGTCACTGTGCGAGAGGCGGGGGACACCCTGGACAGGTCTCCAGTCCATCACAGGGACACCCTAGACAGGTCTCCAGTCTATCAGCCCAGCAGCAGCAGAGCAGCCCAGCAGCAGCAGAGCAGCCCAGCAGCAGCAGAGCAGCCCAGCAGCAGCAGAGCCTTGGATTCACTGACAGCTACCACACCCAGGCTTCACTAGGCCTAGCCTCCATTAGGATCAGGCTACACCGGGCCTGGTCATCACCAGGCCCAGGCCCTGCCTGGCTCAGGTTCCATCAGGCCTTGGTTTCATCAGGCCTATGCTCCACCAGGCCTCACCAGGCACAAGCTACCTTGTACAGGTGTATCTGCTGGCTGGAGTAATTTGTTTGCTCATCAGGAAAAGCTGTTTTAATCACATTTTCTATGGATTTTGGATGGATTTCAATGGATTTTTAACCTTTTACCTAAAAGGGTTTTTATGTCTTGTGAGTTTTAAGCTAGTTTTTTATACCTTTTTATGAACTAACTGAGATTTTGTATAAAAGACTTTGGCCTACCACATGTGCTGAGGCCTGCTTTCAGGCTAGCTAATTTTTGTAACATGTCCTGTGGATTCACTGCAGTCTGACTTGCCCTCAGCTTATATTAGTAGCGGGCTATAATCACAATACAATAGCAAAGGCTACAAAAGTATTTTTGTATTACATAAATACCTTTATGCTCTGTAAAGAAACCAGCAACACCCAGAAGTCAGGACCGGAGAGAAGCTTTTGTTTGTGACTTATGACTGTTAAAACTCTGGTGTGGTGACCCAGCTCATTTGGGGTATGGCTCCTGAAAGTTCTCCAACAAGATGTCAGGGCTGTATCTCACTTTTTGAGAAAGTTGCTGATCTGGAACGTAGAATATCTACATTATGCAAGATACAGGACACAGAGAATTATATGGATACCATAATAATTGGCCAGACTCAGGCACCTGTGACTGCTGCACAACTAGCTGACACTGTTCCTGTCGAAGATGACAGACAACTCGCAATGAGTTCTACCCCTGCACCTGTGGTTCACAGTATAGTCAATGTAGGTCCTCCAACCATTAGTCCACCATCAGCCACCAACAACTTGGGTCCAGCGGGGGAATCCAGCCACACACACTGGCTTCAGTATGGGGCAAGACCCAAAATTCCCCCCAGCTTCACTTCTGTACAATCGGAGCATTGGGTCACAGTTGGGACTCGCCGACACAAGGTATTTGCTGCAAAACATCGTAGTGCTATTTGTCCACTCCCCCTATAAAACCGTTTTAGCATCCTGGATTCCCACAATTTTCCTTCTCTAGCTTCAGATCACCGTCATTCTGCTCCACTACCTGTGTCATCCCCACCCCAGCTGCTACAAACAACGGCGGCCCTCTCTCGTAATAGGTCCCAGGTCAGGATGACTCGGGCGGAGTTGAACTACACACCGGCCCCAGAGCATGTCAGGGAGGGGGTAAGTGATGTGCGGGGGGCACTCAGGGCTCTTTCACTGCAGCCACCTCATCCCTCACAGCTACTCTGCTCAGCACTACTAGAGGCTCATCTGATGGACCAACTTCCCACCACACTGCTTGTGGGAGATTCTATTATAAAGAACGTGAGGATGAGGGGAGCTCTTACACTATCTTTCCCAGGCGCCACTGTCATTGAAATATCTAATAAAATCCCAGAAATCATTAAATCACATCCACAGGCTAAAAGACTCATCATCCATGTAGGCACCAATGACATCCCCAAACAACAGTCTGAATATTTGAAACAGGATTTTATTCATCTACTTGGCACCGTTCTACAGTTTCAACTGCAAGTTTTTATCTCTGGTCCACTTCCCACTTGTGGCAGAGGAATAGGCCGCTTCAGCAGACTTCTCAGCCTGAACACTTGGCTGTCTTCTGTTTGCATCCTCCAAAATGTAAACTTTGTTGAAAATTTTGATGTTTTCTGGGGAAGGAGACATCTTTTTGGAACTGATGGCCTCCATCTGAACAACTCAGGTTCCCGTATTCTAACTGCCAATCTGGACTACAAGGTACAGCACACAACATCACCATCCATACCTGGTAACCATGTCACTATCTCTGACCAGT